GTACTCCCTGCTGCTCCCACACAGTGCGCTTTTCCTCCTGGCCCCCCTTCCAAGGCGTAGATGCCCTGCAAAACAGCAGCAGCAGCAGCAGCAGCGACACAACTGTCACCAACGGCACAAGGACCGCCGCCGCTAGAAGCAGCAACAACAGCATTAGTACCAGTAATAGCAGCTGCATTTGCTGCCGTGGCACACACGCCGTGAGCGCCATGAACGCAGCAGCACCAGTAGCAGCAGCAGCAGGAACACCGTCAGCAGCAGCGTTCTAGCTGCTGACCGAAGGTGGTCCTGCGGGTTGTTGATGATAGCTGAGCCGAAGTCCGCGAGGCAAATGAGCCACTTCAGGGGTCTTGCTGCATCGGCCTCAGCAGCGAAGACAAGAATATTTGAAAGCTTGACATCCACCACGCGCAGCACTTCCGCCTGAATGCAGCAGCAAACCGCAGAAGTAGCAGCAGCAGCAGGAGCAAACGAGTCACACACAAACCTTGCAGCTAGCAGCAAGTAGCCCCATAGAGTGGCAGCACTGCCGCTGTGCACCTACTGCTGCTGCAGCGGCAGCAGCAGAGCCGTTGTGGCGGCAGCAGAAGCGCTTGGGGGCAGCAGCTGATGCAGCAAGAGCCCCACATTCTCTCCCTATTGTTTGCTGCTTATGCATTTATATGCTTCTGTTTTCTTTCGCTTTTTCAATTTAGTCTTGCGGCTGATTCGGTGCTCGTTTGCTCACGGAGCAGCAAAAGTGCAGAAAAGCCCCCCCCTGCAGCAGCTGGGCCGCAATGAACTTGGCCTCAAATTCAGTCAGGCCGCAGGGCCCTACAGACCCGTAGGCACGCCATAGAGATTCCATGCTAGGCAGGACCTTCCCACTCTTGCTGCTGCTGCTGCTGCTGCTGCTGCTGCTGCTTGCACTGCTTGTAGCTGCTGCCGCTGTTGGGGTGGTAGCGGCGCAAGAATCTACTGAGGCTGCCCCGGCGATAGAAACTTCCAACGGTGCAGCTCCTGCGGCTGCAGCTGCTGCTGCTGCGGCAGCCGGTGCTGCCGCTGCTGCAGCCGGTGCTGCGGCTGCACCACTGGAATGCGTTTTTCTTTGTTGGTGCTGCTGCTTCTGCGCTGCATACCACGCCAGCACAACTTTTGCCTTGGCCCTCCTAACAATAAGGCGCCTGAGCAGCACCTGAAGGTCTCCCAGGGCCCTCGGCATCAGCAGCTGAAAGACCCGTGTGGTCCCGTGCTGCTGCTGCTGTTGCTCGCGGTAGCTGCGCGTGGCTATGGGTCGAATGACGTGGGGGTTGAAGTGCTTCATCAGAGCCTCCTCTCGCAGGAACTGAAATGGAGCAGCAGACATTGTCTTGTATTCTTTTAGCGCAAGAGGCGACACAGACGCAGTGCGGCAGCTGCTGCAGCTGCTGCAGCTCTCCGCAGGAGGGATGCAGCAACTGCTGTTGCTGCTTTTGCTGCACTGCGGCGGCGGAGGGGCTGCAGATCGTCGAGGCCTAGAGCCCCTCTGCTTCGTCGGAGACTGTGGCTGCTGCTGCGGCTTTATATCAGGAGTCTCCTTTCTTTGGGGCTGTTGCTGCAGCAGCTGCAGCTGCTGTTGCTGTGTCTCCCTGGACCACTCTGCTTCAAAGACGCTGCCAAATGTGCCCTGGCCAAGCCTTGTGTCAGTGATTTTAAGCCATCCTACGCCCATCCACCACTCGAGCCGGTGCTGCTGCTGCGGCTGCTGCTGCTGCTTCACACCAGCAGTACGAGGTGCCTTCAGCTTCTGCTGCAGCGCAGCAGCAGCACGCATGAGGCCATCACTGTGTGCTTGCTTCTGCTGCTGCTGGGGTCGTGGGTTGACGTACGGAGCGGCAGCGCGGCGGCGAAGCAGCAGAGACTCTGTAGTTCCGCTCTGGCTTGCTGCTGCTGCCGCTGCTGCAGCCGATGCAGCAGCACTCGAGTAAAACGGAGAAGGTCCCGCCTCGAATGCAGCAGCAGATGAACCACGCAAAGACCGTGGGCCCCCGCAGGGAACAGAATTGCCTTGGGAGTCGGTGGCTGTCCGCTGCTGCCGCTGCCTCTGCTGCTGATGCTGCTGCTGTTGCAGTGGCGTCCGTGGTGGCGACAGTTCTTTAGGCCGCTGCTGCTGAGGGGCATTCGGCTGGATTATCTGCTGCTGCTGCCGCTGGTGGCGATCTAGAGAAGCCACAAAACGAGAGAAGCGACTGCTGCAGCTACTGCTGCTGCCGCTGATGCCGCCGTTGCTGCCTAAGCATTCGCGCCGCGGACCTGCACTGCTGCCAGTGCTCTGCAGAGGCCTTGGCTGCTTTTCAGTAGCAGCAGCAGGAACTGACACGGTCACTGCTCGTGCATTTATTTCCACAGCAACGGAAGGTGCTGCTGCTGCTTCTTCTGTTGCTGCTTCTGCTGCTTCCGCTGCCTCTGCTGCTTCTGCTGCTCCTGCTGCTGCTGCTGGCGCTGCAGGGGTCTGCCGCCTTCGCGGACTGCAACGGCCGCGCTTTAGCGGAGGCTCTGACACAGCATCAGCAGAGGCCGTGGAGCCAGTAGCAGCAGCAGCCTGCTGCTGCTCTTTCGGTGCCCCAACAGAATCTTTGCCCCTACTAGTGTTTCTCTTTCTTCTGCTGTTGGTGCCACTGCTGCTGCTGCTGCTCTTGCGGCTGCTGCTTGGAGACTGTGTTCCGTTTGCGGGCGCTGCAGGTGTCTTTTGGTCTGCAGCAGAAGCGTCTTGCTGCTGTTGCTGCTGCGCTTCCTGCTCCTGCGTCTGCCGCTGTTGCTGCGGTTCCCGATCAGCAGCATGAGGCGCTTCTTCAGTTGGTCTAGGGCTGCTGCTTTTCGAATCAACACTGAGCGTTTCCTGGCGCTGCTGCTGCTGCTGCTGCTGCAGCTCATTCTCGCTGCAGGCAGAAACTCGAGCGAAGGCAGGCTGGAAGCGCCCGCTCTGGCTGCTGTTCTGCTGTTGCTGCTTGTCCTCCTCCTGTTGCTGCTCATCCAACCCTGCAGCAGCAGCGGACTGTAAAGAAACACTTTCTTCAGTGCCCTCTTCTGCAGCGTCTGCAGCAGCAGCACTTGCAGCTGCAGTGTCAGCAGCCACCGCTGATCCTTCGTGAGCGACGTCTACTGCAATTTCCTTGGCCATTTGCTGCTGCTGCCGCTGCTGCTGGGCAACTGGCTGCTGCTGCAGCTGGCGCTGCACTTCTTGCATTTTTTCTCCTTCTAGAGGTCGGTCCTCCGGCTCAGAGGTCAGTTGCTGCAGCTCCGCGTGGCGCTGCTCCTGCGGTTGGTGCTGTTGCAGTTGCTGCAGTTCCTGCTGCTGCGCTTGCTGCGGCTGAGATTGTTGCTGCTGGTCTTTGGGTTTCCCATCAAGCGCACGCACATCAGCTGCTGCTGCCTCTTGGCTTTGTTGCTGCTGCTGCTGCTGCCACTGTTCTTCCGGCTGTCCCTCCAGCAATTCAGATGCAAGTGCTGCTGTTCCTAAAGCTACTTTTGCTTCCCCTGGTGCTTCTATTTCTTCTGCTGTTGTGCGCACAGCTCCCGCTGCAGATACTCCTGGCTGTAGTATTTCTTTGTAGGCTGCTCCTGTTGCTTCCGCTGCCACTGAGTCTGCTGCTGCTGTATACGTCACTGCTGCGTCTGCTACTACTGCATTTGTTAGCGCCCCATCTGCTGCTGACTCGCCATCTGTCACTTTCACCTGTGCCGCTTGTGCACTTGCTGCCGCTGTGTCCGCTGCTGCTGCGTGTTTGGCTGGATCTGCTGCTGTTGCTTCTGCAACGGCTTTGCATGTTGCTACAGCGCGAGCAGCTGCTGTGTCTGTTGCCGCTGCCGCTGAGTCTTCCGCTGCTGTTGCTGCAGCTGCTGCTGCACATACTGCTGCAGCTAAGTCTGTCGCGCTTGTTGTTGGCGCTGTGTCGATTCTCGCGGACTCTGCTGCTCTGTCTACTGCTGCTGCTGCTGCTGTTGCGGCTGCACCCAATGCTGCCATTTCTGCCGGTGCTGCATTTGCTTCTCCTGGTTCTGCGCCTGCTGCTGCTGCATCTTCTGCCGCTAAAACTGCTGTGGTTGTCTCTGCTGCTGTTGGGGCTTTGTATGTTGTTGCTGTGCCTGTAGCTGCTGTGTCTTTTCCTGTTGCTTCCGCTTTTGCCGCTGCTGCGTCTGCTGCTCCTGCAGCTGCTAATGTGCCTGTTCCTGCAATTGCTGCCGTTGCAGCTGCTTCCTCCACTGCGATGCCTTCTGATGACGTATCTGCTGCTGCCGCTGGCGCATCCTGTGCTGCTCCTGCCGCTGCTGGGCTTTCTGCTGCCACGGTCCCATCTGCTTCCGCTGCGTTCGCTGTGGCTGCGTCTGCTGATGTTGTGCACGCTTCTGGTGCTCCTGCGGTTGCTGCTGCTACAAGTGCTGCTGCTGCGTCCGCTGCTACAGCTCCCGATGCTGCCGCCGCTTTTACATCTGCCACTGATCCTACAGTTGCTATTGCTGCTACGTCTGCTGCCGCAGCATCTGCCGTTGCTTCTCTGGCTGCTGCATCTGCATTTGGTGCTTCAACTGAGGCTAAATCAGGTGCTGCTGAGTCTACTGCACCTGCAGTCGCTGCTGCCGTGTCCGCTGCTACATTTGTTCCGCGCGCTTCTGCTGCTGCGTCTGCTACGGCAGCGTCTCTCGCTGTATTCGTGGTTGCTGTGGTTGCTGCATGTGTTGCTGCTTCATCTGCTGTTGCTGCTGCTGCGGCCACAGCGGCTGCTGCTTCTGCGCCTTCGTCTGCTGTGTCCGGTGCTGCGGGTGGTGCTGCTCCTGCGTTTGCGACTGGAGCAACGTCTCCTATTGCACCGTCTCCTGCTGGAGCATTTGCTGCTACAGAGCCTGTCGCTGCTGCTGCTGCTGCTGCTGCTGCTGCTGTGCTCTGCTCAACGGCGTCTTCTCCTATGGCTTCCCCGTTGGCAGGCGCAGCAGCAGATAAGGCAGCAGAGCCATCAGGTTGTGCAACAGGCGCAGCAGTGGCTGCTGCAGCTTCCCATGCCGGCAAGGCGGCAGCAGCTTGCGCTGCTGCGGTTGCTGCTGGAGTGGCTGCTGCTGCTGCAGGGCTTGCTGCTCCAGCGGCACTTCTAAGTACTGCGCCTTCATCTGGTGGCGGTCTCGTAGCTGACGCAGGGTGAGAGAATACTGCTACTGCTGCTGCTGCTGCTGATGCTGCTGCTGCGGCTGCTGCTGAGGCTTGATGCACTTCCCCGATTTTTCTTACCTCCTGATCTGTGGGAGTCTCGGCCCTTGCTGCTGACGCTTCTGGGGATGTTGCTTGTGGCGATATTGTTTCCGCTGCTTCAGCTGCTGCTCCCGGTTTCTCTGTTGCTGCTACAGCTGCTGTTCCCTGAATTGGTCCAGTGGTCGCCTCATCGTTGATTGCTGTCACTTGATGCGAAAATTCTCGAAGCTGCTTCTGCTTTTGCTGTTTAAGTTCTTGCTGAGACTGACTTTGTCGTTGCTGCTCTGGATGCAACTCTGTGTCCATAAATTTAGGCAGACGTTGTTGCTGCCGCTCTTTCTGTTGCTGTTGTTCTCGCTTTCGCTCGTCCTTTCGATGCGCCTCTTGTTCCGATGCACGCTGTTGCTGCTGCTGCTGCTGCTGCTTCTCGCCTTGCTGGGGTACATGGTGCTGTCCTGATGGTTTTTGCAGCTCCTGATGATGGCTTTGCTGCTGCTGTTGCCTCAGCTGCTCCGGTTGAAGCTCACGGCCTTCAAGCGAACGGCTGTGCTGCTCTTCCCGCTGCTGCTGCTGCTCCTCCTGTTGCTGCTGCTGCTGCTCTTCATACGCTTCCGCGATCCGGACAGGCTCATCGAGCCGCTTTACAATGCGTCGTTGCTGTTTCTGCTGCTTTTGCTGCTGCTGCTGCTGCTTTTGCCCCAGCTCTTGCTGTCGCTGTGCCCTTTGTTCTCTGTGGAATTCTTGAACCGAGGCCGCCTGAACAGCTGTAGCGCTCGAAACGTGGCCAGCAACTGGAGAAGCAGTAGCAGCACCGACGCATTCTGCTACACTGACTGATGTTGAGGTTACTTTTGCTGCGGCTGCCCTTCGGTTCTGCTCTTCGAATAGGGGATCCTTGCAGCTATTTCTGTTTATGTTGTCTTTCTGCCCAACAGATGGCCGATGCGCGGGTTTCCAGCTGCTGCTACTGGCGCTACTGCTGCTGCTTCTGCTTCTGCTGCTGTTGCTACAGCAGCTGCTGCTCCTGTTGCTGCTGGTGCTGCACCTGCCTCTGCTCGTGTCAAGTCCGCTGCTGCTGCTACTTTTGTGTTTGCTGCTGTTGCTCTTGCTGCTGCTAACTTTGCTGCTGCTACTTTTGCTGCCGCTGCTTTTGCTGCTGTGGTGTGTGCTGCTGCGGCAACCTGTGGGCACATCTCGTGGCGTCACATGTACAGCAGCAGAAGCATCGCGACGTTGAAGCGGACTGGCAGCAGCAGAGTTTGCTTCAGCAGCTGAGCGTGCTGCAGCCAATGAGTCCGCTGCAGGCGAAGTCCTTGCTGCAGCCGCAAAGGCCTCTGCAGCAGCAGTCCGTACTGCAGCTCTACTGTTTGATGCAGCAGCAGAACTCCCCGCAGCTGCAGCAACACGGACTGTTACAGCAACAGGGCCAAGTGCATCAACAGGGCCTAATGTATCGGCACGGCTTCCTGCAGCAGCCGGGACCGCAGCTGCAGCAGCAGCGCTCGCTGCAGCAGCAGAGCTCGCTGCAGCATCACGACCCGATGCAGCAGCAGCGGTGACTCCACTGGCGCGGACTCCTGCAGCAGCACGCCTTGCTGCTGTAGCAGGTGAACAACCGCGGGACGCTGGAAGCAAGGATTTGAGGCTGTTTGCCGCCTGCCTTCCTGTAGCTGGTGGTGCTGCATCTGAAGAAGCAGCTGCTGCTGCTGCTCGCTTTCCTGCCATTGCTGCTGCTGCTGCCGGGGACGGCTTCCGTATCCCTTCAACTGCTCGTTGCGCAGAAGCAGCAACTACTGCCTTTGCTGCTGCTGCAGTAGCTTCTCTTGCCGGTGCTTCTGCCGACGAATGAGCGCTAGGAAAGGTAGCAGCTGCAGCAGCAGTTGCTCTCATTGCGTCCGCAGCTGCTGCCACTGCTGCTGCTGCCCGCAAGGCAGCAGCTGTTGCTCGCGGTGCTGCTGTACATGTGGTCGACGCTTTTGCTGCTGCTGCCTTCGCTGCAGGTGAAGCTGCTGTGGGCAGATCGCAGCTTGGTGCGTGCCGCGCTGCTGCAGCACCTGGTACAGCAGCACTCGCAGGCGCAGCAGCAGCAGCACAAGGCGCAGCATTCGCTTTTGCAGCTTTTAAGTGCCTGTTGGATGCGGGGCTCTGCTGCAGCAGCAACAGCCCCTGCAGCCATCCCGCAGAGGAACGTCTGCCAGGCGCATCACCTGGCAGGGGAGACCTCTGCTGCTGCTCCGACTTCTGCTTCCGCTGTTGCTGCTGCTGCTGTAGCTGCTGTATGGCTGACTGAGCTGCCACACGCACTCGCTGGGCTGTATGCGGGGTCGACGATAAAACGCTAGAAGGGGTGGGCGCGCCTGCCTGCAACGCCTGCTGCTGCCGCTGCTGCTGCTGCTGCTGCAGTGGCGGCTTCTGCGGCAGCTTGTCTTCTGGCTCCGCTTCCTGCTGCAGTAGCTGCTGGAAGTGGTCTAGTGAGTCCGCAGGCTCTTGTGGAGGGCCAACACAAGAGACAAAGTCATATGGTGTCAGGCAGATTTGCTTCTGCCCTTGCTGCTTCTGTTGCTGCTGTGGAGTGGCTTGTGGTTGCTGAGATGAATCGGTCAAAGGGGAGGACAAGTATAGATGCTGCAGCTGCTGCTGCTGCTGCTGCGAAAGAGGAGACTCGCTAGAGCGTCCCTGGAGCAGCCATTCCGCTAGCTGCTCTCGCTGCTGCTGCTGCTGCTGCTGCTCAGTTTGCAACGCTCCTGCAGCAGCTGCTGCAGCAGCAGCATGACTGCGGCTGACACGAACACCGCCTCCGCCAAAAGAAGTGCTGCTGCACTCTTCAGGCGACTGCACCGAAAATGGAAGCTTTGCAGCAGGGCTAATGGACTTCTGCAGCAGCTCCCACTGCTGCTGCTGCTGCTGCTGCTGCGGTGGCGGGGGCAGCGGTGGGGGAAACGCTGGCGCATGCGGTGACAGCTGAAATGACTTGCCAGCTGTGGTGACGGAGGGATTTACTTGCTGTTGCTGCTGCTGCTGTGGCGGCGACCACGCAGCACGTTGCTGCTGGTCTTCCCAGTCAGTGTGCGTCTGTCTGTAGAGCCATGACTGCTGGCATATGTGCTGCTGCTGCTGCTGCAGCAGCGGCGAGCCAGACGCTTGCTGCTGCTCATTCCAGCCATACAAGATTTCGTGTTGCTGCTGTTGCTGCTGCCACTCAGCATTTGGCTGCCACGAATACTGGTGCTGCCCCCAATGCTGCTGCTGAGATTGCTGTTGCTGTTGTAGCGGCTGCTGCTGTTGCTCCCAGCCAACTTGCTGCTGCTGCCGCCCCTGCCCTTCCTCATGCTGCTGCCCCTGCCATGTGGTTTGCTGCTGGTAACTCTTCTGTTCCCACTCTCGCTGTTGCTGCTCTTTTTGCCACCTCTGCAAATGCTCCTCCGCAGTTTGTGGCTGCTTTGGCTCCGCTGGCTGCTGCTGCCGCTCCTGCTGCTGCGGCCGCCAGAAGCTTTGCTGCTGACCTTCTTCAGACTGCAGCTGTTTGGGCTGCTGCTGCTGCTGCTGCAAGTGGTGCCGCTGCCCGTAGCTTTGTGGGTTCCAGCTGTGCCGTTGCTGAGTACGCTGCTGCTGCTGCTGCTGCCACTGCGGTGAATACGTTGCGTTCCATGGCTGCTGCCAATCCTGCTGCTGCTGTTGCTGCTGCTGCTGCTCGTCTGATGCAGGGTTGCGGCACACAGCAGCAATGCTGCTGCAGCGCTCGAGCCAGCTTACTCCAGACGCCCAGCCGCCATCGCTGCCAAGGCCCCAGTTGCCATTGCTGCTTCTGCTGCTGCTGCTACCTGCACACCAGCTGTTCCTGTTGTGACTGCCACAGTATGTTCCCCATGGATGAGGGCTACTACTTCTGTCCCACTGTATGCTGCTTCTGTCCCATTGTTTGCTGCTGTTTTCCCACTGTTTGCTGCCGTCGTCCCATTGTTTGCTGCTGCTGCTGCTGATGGGAACAGCATGGCAGCTCCGCCTGCTAGGCCGTGCCGCCGTGGCCGTATGGGCTCTGCTACTGCTGCTGCACCTGCTGCTGCTGCTATTTCGTTGCTTGCTCACGGGTTCGGGGGAGGGGATGACAGCCCACGGGTCTATTCCAGGGCTGGGGCTCCTTTGCTTTAAGAGGGCCTTTTTGCTGCTGCGCTTGCTGCTGCTGCTACTGCTGCTGCTGCTGATTCTACCAGCGCCGCGAGAGTCAGCAGGAGAGAGGCCCGGGCCCGGAGGCGACATCGCTGTCTGGGAACATTGTACTGTGCAGGACTGCTGCTGCTGCAGCTTGCCGCTGCTGCTCGTTTTTGCTGCTGTTGCTGCTTGACTAGCAGCGCCGTGGAAGCCTTATGCCGCAGCAGCTGCTGCCGTTATAGCAGCTGTAGCAGCAGCTGCTGCTGCTGCTCCTCGTCGCGAACAGTGTCCCTGCTGCAGGGATCTCTGTAGTGTACATGCACCGCAGCAGTACGGCAGGGGACGAAGTGAAGCCCGGAGTAATAATCAAAAAGAGCAGGGCTGTGAAGCAGATAAAAGGCGACAAATATTCCTATTTCTTGCTGCGGCCGCTGCCGCCGTTGCTACCGCGTGCTATAACCCACCGACCCCAACACCATCGGCTGCGGGTCGTGTCTGTGTTCTGGCCATTTGCATGCGCAAATATAAGATGCTTGTAACAACTCGAAACAGAAGTGGCCAAGTCACTTAGGTGGTAGGCAGAAAGACCGAATGGGCGCGAAGAAATATCTATGAGCATTACACTCAGGGGCGGAGACCATGAATGAAAAAACGCCCCGCTTCAACAGCAGCAGGCCTGCGTTTTGAGCAGCAGTAAATCGAACTCACTACTTTAAAATCTTATTTTCAAAATTTCAAACCTTTTCTAAGCGGATGGGGGCTTCCAGATTGGCGAAACCTCAGAAATATGTGTGCTGCTCCATATTCGTGAACATTGTAGTGTTACGCCTAGCACAAGTAACGGCGCGTGTATAGTTGTCCAGCAGTTCACTGTCTAATTCCATGTATTTGGTTTCACTGCTATGCTACTGCCACTTCTTAGCCTATAAGCACTCAAGCGCCGCTGTGGCGAGCCTCACGCAACTCCACCAAAGTAACAGCGAAATTTCAGTGCCCCTATGAATTATATCCCGGAGGCGCTATAGCCACAAAATTCCCACACGAATTCAACACGCCCCTTCTGGCTGCTTTACAGCGAAATAAGGTTAATGTCAAAGCCAATAATTCAGATTCTGAACATTACGTAGGTTAAGAAGAGGGCGCCCAGATACTACACCCCCAGCGGCCCTTGCCTTTAGGCCTGCGCTGTCTTAGCCGCATAGCAGCCATGTCATGACTCTTCGTCCACGTTCTACGGTCTACGTATGCCCAGCCGTGTCGCTGACTCCGTGAAGTACCTGCTTAACAATTCGAAGACTGGCATGTCACCCCCAAAGATAACTCCTAGCTGAGCTGTGGCCCCTCTTAGCCACAAATAGATTTCTCGGCATCCTTTAGGACTCTTTTCCAACGCAGTGCACCTCACTAGTTAACTAGGAGGTACAGGTGCCAAGTCTTGGGCAAATATTTAGAACCCCTAAGCGAGTCGTTACCATTCCTACGTGAACTCTGCTCCTCAGATGCTCCAGAGGGCTGCGGATGCGCACCTGTGCAAGGTGGCACAGTTTCTTTTTTCTCGCATGTTCGCCGATTTATACCCTGCACTAGTAGGTAAAATGCATAGACTCTACCATGTATGCATCTATGGGCATATAGGCACATGCATTTACGTGCTGGTTAACTGCTGCATATGCTCACGTTCATAGAAGAATACATACTTTGATAACCACCTCTACTTGCTGGTGTCCTCACGTCTACAACAGCAGCTGCTACTCCTGTATCCCTGTGTATCCCTGCCTTTTTTCTCTCCCCTTGGCGATGAACTCCCGCTCTCTTTCTCAAGCGCTTTCTCAGGCCGTGGTAGGGAAGAAACGGACAGAAAGCAACTTATACTAGGCCTTAAATGTGCCTCTTCACTGTTCCCGACGAGCCATTAAAACGACAGTTCTTTTCTCAATGCAAAGAATACAACTGCGCATTATCCTTACTACCAAAAAGGTCTCTTGTGGCTCCACTGACAAATCATGGTCCACCTGGCTAGCTGCTGCTCCTACTAGATGTGCTGCAGCAGCTGATGCCATCCCGTTGCACTTGCCTCTCCTGCTGCAGGCTCTTTCCTTATGCCTTTTGGCACAAGGGTCGCCACTACTCCCTAAAAGTTGCTGGTCCTGTTCCCGCTGATGCTGCTGCTTACAGGAACTGCTGCAGATTGTTGGCAATGCTGAGCAACATGGGATCATCGAAGAACTTGTGAATTGAGACGTCCTCGCTTAGACCCTGAAATGGTGCGAATTACACAGACACACGAATTCGCAGATCTGCTTAGAGCCAAATGTTCACTTGGCAACCAAGACACAAATTCTTCAGTGTGCTCTGTCACACATGCGGAAACCACACCATCACGAGCGGCAGCAACAGCAGCAGCAGCAGCGTCAGCAGCAACGTCAGCAGGACTTCAGCTCAACAGCGGCAGACAAACAGAGCCCCCAAAGCTCGGGAAGTGGCAGTGGCAGCACCCAAATCCTCAGCAGCAGCAGCAGCAGCAGCACAGCCTACTTTTCTTCTCCTCGTTTTCAGTAGGAACTCTCTGGCAAGGTGAGGAGCTGGCGCTGGCTCTAACGGCTTAAACACAATCTGCTTGTCCAGAGGGTCCCCTGGAACTATGGCCCAGTTGTCGAAGACGGTCAAGCACATTGCCTGACCACTTGTGTGTGTCCTGCAAAGTATAGCGAACGGGAAGAAAACTCTTTTTAGTCCAGCACTCATCGGTTTATACAGTAACGTACACTAAAATAGCGAAGAGAAACATGAAGGCAAACGAATGAATGCCAGCTTCCATTGTTATGGCGGAAGTCCAAATACACTGGGCTAGTAGTTCCAGCCGCAGCAGCAATACCAGCAACAGCAACAGCAGTATCGAAACGCACCTGAGGTCTGTCTCGAAGCCAAAGGATTCTATGGCTGGCAGGTATGCGTGCACAATGTAGAGGGGAGTTCCCGGCTTGGGCATGTCGCGAGCTACATTGCCGCGCCTCCTGCAAGAGCGGCAGCAGAGCTAGAAAAAGGCAACAGTAGGTGTGCACCTCGAAGCGATAGCAACGCGCGAATACCTCAGGAAGGACCGCGTACATTTTGCAGCAGCAGCCGCAGCCGGTGCTGCTTCTTCTGCTGCACGCTGCTACAAATCCTGCTGACAATTATGCTGCCGACAGTGCCCGTTTCTGCCCCTTGCTGCTTATTGCTACAGTTGCCAGCTTGTTAACGTCTAACCGTGCAAGCACTGTATAAATGGCTGAGACGCAATCTGCTGGACACTGGATCTCGGAAAACATGATGGGCTCCAGTAGCCTGGGAGTGGCGAGCAGCAGAGCGGAGTAGGCCACGCGCCTGATATCGCAACGACATGAATAGACAGAAGAACCATGGCAAATGATATACTTGAATGATAAAAAAATGAGTAAATGCATAGATGCAATGGACAATCGATAGCTAGGTAAACCGACCTCGCACTCGGAATAATCTGACCCCCTCCTCTGTGCACTGCATCTTTTGCTATTTCTGCATCCACCAGCTTGAAGCGCACGCCCTTCACGTTCTCCTCAATCAAGGGGCCCTCTCGGGTCGCCCATTGGAAGCCCTGTGGTTAGCTCACACATAGTGCAGTTCAAGGCATAGTTCCCAAACCCCGAATTTTGCCGCACGGAAAGATATGAAAGAGCGAAACAAATGTAGTTCTGGCCAAGTCCTGTTTTAGTTTAAGTCAATATCCGTTTGTATCGCAAGTAACGGGAACAGCTTAGTTTGTTGCTTCGTTTATTCATCACGCTTTTGCATTACTTACTTGGATAACACTTTCCTTAAACGGCAGCAAGGCCCCCTTCTGTTGCGAAACGAGGCGCTGGAACTCGGCGTTGAACACCTCTCCCAGTAGTACACAAGACCCTAAAAAACAAGAAAATCCAAGTGGTAGTACTCTAGTAACATCAAGGTGCATTGTGCCACGATATGTGTGTGCGGACAAGCATTCACATCCACTTCTGGTATTTCCATTGCAAGTGACACATATGGCCCAAAAGAACGTTGAGGACCCGTAAACGGAATATTCTTCTACGCGCAAACTGGATGCCTTGCAGATATAATGCAGTTTAGAGCTATACATGAACTTAGCGTAAATTGGTTCTGTCCACATGTGGACGGTAACATCAGAACGGCAAGACTAAGCAGATAAACGCAAACTTAAATGGGAAGAGAGCAGTCAGATGCAAGCCATCCAACTTGATGACCAGCTAAGCATGCGCGTATAGACTACACGATAAAACACAAGTGCCACATATGCACTCGCGCGTGTTGGTATCAACTATTGTCAGTCTGTCTATAATTCAACTCACAACTTCGCAGCCTGATTATTTAGTTATTCATGTTTTCTGCCCATGAAATTGTTCTTTTCTCACCTCTTGCAGAGGGCCCGAATGCCCAAATAGACCTAGCCGCCAGCAGATCCCACCCGTACTGAGAAGAGAAATGCTCACCCAGAGTCCTAAACAAAAAGCAAAGATAAAGTAGAATTTGGAGGTCTTCGCCTTGGAGAAATGTTCTAGAAACAGCCACTCGACCCACACAGCATCAACATCAAGGATTGAAGCCACGGCAAAAGTACCAGTAGTGACACCAGCAGCAACTTCCCCACAAGCGCCAGCAACACGTCACATACAGCAGCAGTAGCAGCGAGAGCAAAAGCAGCAAATGTACAAACAGCAGCAGCATCAATACAAGGAGCTGCAACAGTTGTGGCTACGTTGTGTTACCTCTGGTCCCATTTGTCGCTAATGTGTCCTTTCTCGAGATCATCTGCAATCCGTTTCTCAAGGGGCTCGGCAATCATGTAAAGCTTATTCTTCTTGTTTGGCGACTCTGCGAAGCACTTTAGGGCGCTGGTTTCCACTACCTGGCAAATATCAAATACAGCCAAGCAGCTCCAGGCATTTGCAAACGTTGAACAAGGAGTTAGACAGAACCGCCACCTCAACCACCTCCACAGCCACAATTGGCACCATTACAGGCATCAACGCCACGAACAGCAACAGTAAAAGCAGCAGCGAAACCCGCAACAGCTACAACAATAGAAGCAG